GACATTGAATCGGAGAATGAAATCATATACTGAAGACAGAGACAACAGCACTAGGCCCAGACCCAGGACAAGTGCTGTAGGAAAGAAAGCCTATCTTGGTGGTGTCTGGGAATTTTAAGCTCTGGAGAAAAGAATGAACTAAAATTAGAAATAACAAAGTCATTAGTATATATTTCTTAACAGATGTTAAAGTTTTAGTTACATGTGAAAGTTTGGATAAAATAGGCTTTTAAATTTTTTTAAATTTAAGAGTAAGAAAAACCCTCTCCTATTAGCCATTGGTGAACATTGCCATTTATTACCATTATTATTCATTGCCATGCAGACCAATTATTTTTTAGTTTTCTAATTCACATTTAGTCTACATTATCACAAATAAAATAAAAATCACAAGGATGCTATTGCCAGTAATGTCAACATTTCCCCAATATGTAAATCCTAATTTGTATTAAATCCCTGAAGAAATGCACACTGCAGTAAATGAAATATCCTTTCAAAAAAGTACTTTAAATGATGAAATAATTTTTAGCTCAATGTATACACACTACACTTTACATGCAGCTAAATTGACCTAGGTATTGTGATATACCTTAGGTGTATGATAATCAATATGTGTAGAGTAAATGTTATTTGAAAAAAGTATAATCTTTGAACATAAAACAGTAGTTCAAGATAAGTAACTTCTATAAATTCACCATCTATTTTGCTATTCACCCACTGATCCAGAAATTTTATGTACCATAATTGCTGAGGAAAAGTAGATAAATAAATAATGAATGCTATTGATACTGAGTATAGTTCTCAAAGGCTGAAAACTCCCCCCCCAACCAAATCTGTATTTAAAACCTGTCACTTCAGTTAAAAAAAAACAAACAACTTTTACTATTTTTCACTCTAGTATAGGAAAGCTTAGAAACAAGTTCCTCTTAAAAAATTACTTTTAAAAGAGGAGGACAGAAGGATGACCTTAATTTCCAAGAATATCCACCTGAAAAAGTAACTTTACAAGAAGAGAGCATCTGAATATCTTTTAAAAGAGAACAAAGTAATTAAAAATGTTGGCATTCCACAAACTAAGCACAGCATAAAATGACACAAAAGGGAAATGTAATGAAGAGATAAAAATCTGAAAGGAAATTAATTGATTAAAACACATGGGCACACACACACTGCATGTAGTCATTCAGCATTATATGCTGCCTGGCTCTGTATTTTCTTTTAAAATATAATCATAACTTCTGTATAAGACAATATAGGCTCCCAAGATACTCATGAAAAATTCTAATCAAATTTCACTCCAGAGTTAGTAATCTGTTAGAATACTAGGCCTAAATAAATCTGTTATGTTAAATCAGGAACCAACACACACTATTTTCCATAACAGGAGCTATATAAATTACAAGCTCCTCCATGTTTTGTTAACTAGATTTGGTACACTTAAAAATAAGCAGTACTCTACATCTAGAGTACTCCAATACAAATGTTTTGGTATCTTTTAGAGTTTATCATTCATTGTAATGCTCAATCTTTACAAAAAACCACCAGAGGATTTGCAATTACTGTCTACTATCTTGCACAGTAAATATTGTATTTGTTCTGTTTTTAAATCCATATGTTTTGCTGTATGAGGTTTTAGAAAGAAGCAATGTTATTATATTTTCTTTTGGTTGTCACTGATGATTTAAACTTAAAGATCATTAATTTTAACACTAAAATCCTGTTACATTCTCATTTGAGTTGTTCTATTAATCTCAAAGGTAGACTTTATGTATTACCATTACAAAAAATAACTATTTGCATAATACTTTATGATTTTACATCTATTACAAACACATCACAGGGAGCCTGAGGATGCATTCAGTAGCCTGTCATTCACCACTCAAGACCCTTCAGAACCAAACAAGGGGGAGGGTGACATTCTGCTAATGGCACAAGTAAAGAAATGAATATAAATAACAATCCTTGAAGTTTTAAAAATACAAAAGAAATTTTAAAAATACAAAAATACCATCCACATACATAAACAAGACAGTTTCAATTTATAAAACTCTATGTCCTCTCTGCAGAAGCAGGGTGTGTTTGGAGATTTATGTATTTGTTGTAACACCCATTTAAATTGTCTAAAACTATGCTATAAAACTAAAGGAAATTACCATCTTCTTGCTGGGTTATAAAATAATATCATATTAAAATTGAATGTATCTATTTAAAGAATTCAGCTATTCTTCAGCCTTGTGAAATAACCTAAGTGCCATATCTTTATTACTCTAGTCTTAACCCTATAAATGTGCATATTAAGAATGCTTAAGAGGGAAATAATAATAATCTAACACATTTAGAAATTACTACGTTGTTGCATACTTTCTTCCTGGTAAAACATTTCCAAAGAAAATTATTTAAAGCTTCTGTATTTTCTTCCATAACCACCAGTCCAGATAAAAAATACTGAATGCTCCGTTATGTCACCTCATAGCACGTAAGGCTTCTTGTAAACAATATGCCTCTATACTGAATACATATCCCTTGGGTCACCATCTACGTAATTTAACATTTTTAAGTGTAGTTTCATACCCAGCATAACACCATCTAAAACATGCACGCACACGCACACACACACACACACATACACACACCAGAGCAGTGTGCAGAAAAGGAAGGAGGTGGAGAGCAAGAAATGGAGCACGTTGTTGTTTCTCATTCATGCAGTATAGTGATGTCAGTGTCTGCAGCAGCAGAGGCAGCGGCAGGAGCCTTGACCTGTGGAGACTAAAATCCACTGAAGTCAGAACCTTGCAGAATTCAAAAGAAACTGAGTAGGTAATCGTTTGAAAAATTGCTCAACTGGCCATACTATAGATTTTAAATGGCTAAATAAACAGAATAGAATAGTTGTACACTTTTAATTTGGGTAGCTCTCTAGCTAGGCGGGATGTGGAGAAGTAACATAAAGGTAGTATCATCAGGGGGTTGGGGACAGAAAAGTCTGCATTCAAAATCATTTCAGTGTAAGAAACTGACAACATCACCTGGTCTTAAAAAGAGCAGAAAAGCCTCTTCCATTTCCAGTACCAGCTCTCTGATGATGCAAATCTGCCTACTGCACAACCAGACTCAGAAGTGTTTTCATCATGATTGCATTAAAATTGCATTAAATTCAGATGTGCCATACTACAACAAAGAGGATAGTTTAAGCCTGATCACAAATTTCATTAAAACTGCTTGATGATGGACCATGTAATTCCTAAGCAATTAAGGCTTTTGAAGGAGGCAGAAAAACAAGTTGTACTATGATCTGTTGTAAGATGCTAGTGTTTATCAACAAAAGAGAAGGTACTAGATGGTCATTATACTGTTGTAGCAATTGCCGAAACTACTCTTACTCTGCCCACAAAACGCTCTGTACACAATCTGTCTGTAATGCTTATTTTATGGCTCTTATATTAGTCCCTAAAAGAAAATCCCAAAACTCAATCCATGCACTGTTGAAGCCAAATCACTCACAATTTATGTAACTGCTGCCTTCTTTTCATTCTGTTACCTCTCATTTCATGTAGCTCTAGAAAATGTGCAAGAGAGTTGCATATGGCATTAATCTGTTAGAAAATGGTGGCCTTTTCTATAAAATACAGCCAAAGATGTGTGTTCAGTGGTGGTCATTATTAGGGCGATCACGTTGTTTTCATTCATTCATTCAGGATTTGCTGGAGGATGTCAGTTTCTGCAGCAGCTGGCTTGACCTGGGGGAGGAGTGGGGGAGCAAATTCCTCCTGGTGCATACAGATTACAGGATGTATTTCTTGGTGCTCATGTACTCATACCTTGCCTCACCATCAAGTGGTCTGAAAACAAGTGCCTTAACAATGTTAATTACAGGTCAGAAATATTAAAACAAAAACACCAAAACTGCAATCTACCATAACAGAAGCACTTTCTCCAAGTCTAAGACCTTCATTAAGAAAACTCCATTAAAAAAATTCCACATACCACATAAACACTGTACAGAGAGCTCCACTGTGTTTCCCTTCTAAGCAGAGATTTTCCACTTAGCATGATCTGTTCTCTCCACAATGCAGCAGCAGCAACAGCAGCAGCAGCATCTGTAGCTCTAGCCTGGTATCTAATAATATTAGCTACTCCACTCTCCCTTATGAGTTTTAAGTCCCTGTTTTGGCTAGTCTTTCTCTTCTCCCCAAGGACTCAACTAGATCATGCGCTATGTCCCTAGACATAAAACAAAACCAAACCAAAACAGAAAACCTTGAGGGAAGCCAACAGCATCCACTAGCTCACCATTACCTTTGACACCTAACAAAAAAGAAACCTGAGATCCTTTAACAGCTCAACTGAACTATAAAGTGTACTTAAAAATGGAAGGAAAAAGTGAGCACACATCACAAACAGGTCTTTAAAATTTACCATGAAAATGTTGAATTGGGCATAAACTCTTTCCAGTGCAGTACTGCTCTGATGCATATGACTATATAGAGACAAGAGGAGGGTGGGGGGCAAACCAAAACACTATACATTCTAATTGCACATCCCAAACTGTTCCCTTTACACATCCTTACAACAAATATCCTTACATCACAACTAATGCCACCACCTCTCAAAAAAAAATTTCTTGTAGTCACAGACATTAGGAACTTTGAACGAAAGCACAAAGAGGCTGCTAGAGAGTTTGTGTGTGTGTTTCGCCCTCCTTCCCCCGCTACAAACAGCAAACATATGAGTGAGCTGATCAGCTCTTAAATTGAAAAACCTTTCCACGCAGGTGAGTGATGGAAGATAAAATCTGAGGGGCAGCTGGAGGGTCAAATAAAAGTTGCTTTGCAGTTTGCTCCTCCAAGCCCCGCAGCGACCGCAAGGGGTGAGATTCCCAAAGCCACGTTCACACCTTCGATAATGCACTAGCAAAGAGAAGCCCGGAGAGGCTGAAGTTTCCGCGGAGGGCACCGTCGGGGAGACGCAGCCCGGGAGGACGGAAGGGTTGGGCTCGCTACCTCTGCACACGGGCGAGCCGGGGCTCCTTCTCTCAGGTGAGTTGCTCCTCCGGTGGCTCTCGGGGGACCGTCTCGGGCGGCCCTTGGTTCGCGGCGCCTGGTCGGTCGGGGCCACGGCCGGCAGCGGCGTCGGGCTGGGCGGGCTGGGGCCGCGGGCCGCTCCGGGCCCCGGGAGGCTGCCCAGCGAGGCGGCGGGCAGGCGCGTGGGACTGTGCTGGCTGCCCCGCAAGAGCTGATAGGGAACTGTGGCGCGGATGGGCTGCAGCAGCCGACCGGCTCCCGCACCCGGGGCGCAGCCCACTCCACCGCCTCCCGCACCGTTCCCACTCCCGGCAACGGGGACCGCGGGAGGGGAGCCCGCGGCGCTGCGCCGCATCCTCTGCGGCGGAGGATGAGGGGTCTGGGAGGAACTAGAGGAAGAGGAGGCAGTGGACATGGTGGCTCCACCGGCCCTGGACGACGCCAGCCGAGCCGGAGGCGCGGAGCGGGAGGCGCACGAGCGTGTGGGAGCCGGCGCGATGGTGCGTGCGAGTGTGTAAGGGGGAGGGGCGGGGGTATCGAGGAGGGGGAGGAGTCTCTCGGCTCCCCCTTCCCAACGCGCACCCCCGCCGCCTTAAGCGAGGGGGAGGGGAAGGCTGCGAAAACAAACGTCCAACGGCCCCAACCGCCCGGTCGGGCTTGATGTGGCGGTCACGGCCGGGGCCGCGAGGAGCCCGGAGCCGCAGCCGACCCGGGCATAGCGCTGACAGGGGAGAGGGGCAACCGTCCGGATCAAGGAGCCCCGGGGCCGCTGGCAGCCAGGCGGGGCTGCACGCTCGGGAGAGCCCGGCAGCTACCGGGAGAGCCGGGACTCCCGCTTCTAGGAACCGGGTAGGGGGTAAGGGCCTTGAGGTATCTGGTTCTCCCGGGAGCCCGCGCCACCGCAAAAGCCAGCGCCGCCGCCTCTGCCCCCTCGTCACTCCAAAAGGCAACTAATTCCCCCACCCGCACCCTGTCCCCGGCACCGCCTCCGGGTGCTCGGGACCCGGCAGCTGCCGCAACGAACATTCCCATTGGCTCCGTCTCTCTCCACCAAAATTCGAGTGATTGGTTTCAGAATACGAGTGAGAGGAGCATCGACCAATGAAAGTGGTGATTTCTACTTCGCAGGTGGGGCGTGAAGGGTGGAAGAGTGAGGAGGGGGCTTAATGCGCAGTGAGAGGCCTGAGAGTTGACAGCCTTTGAGGTGAGAGCGAGACTTTGATTGGGCTTCCATAGGAAAGTGGGTCCGTGTGTCTGCGCGTGCCCCGGACACCCACAGACACAAGCACGCCCCGGTATGCAGGTTTCGAGGGCTCCACCCTCCCGGGACCAATTGTACAACTTGAGACAGAGGACACTTAAAGGAAACTTTACTTTGCAAGTGCACCTGTTCTTGTAGGATGTTTTGGAGTTGGAACCAGATTCCATTCCTTTCACTCTAATTTTAGTAATCTGAGTTTTCCTGCGAGTAGACCGCTTGACAAAAAAAAAAGGCAATGTCTGGATGCTCGGTTGAACATTGGGTTGATACTTTTCACAGCATATCCTAACATTTGTAGTTATGCGGTGAAATGAGATAATCAAAACTTAGGTTCCAGGGCAATTACTCTGAATTGCAGGGGTCAAAAAGGACTTGTACATCATTACACCGTCAGTTAGATATATTAATGGAGGGCACCCTGTTGCCTTTCCCCAGAAGCAGATGGCCTCTTGGGAGAAATAAATACCAGACTTAATGTAACAATCCACTGTGGCAAATTTGGTTTTTATTCTGCAATGAAACTGAAGAGATACAAAGATTTTGGGATAACTATTAAGAACCTAAGTTTACCCTACAATAAACCAAAGTTTTAAACCTTAATTAAGCAGGAACAATTAATTTAAGGGTCTATGGTTAGTACCCTCTATTAATTTCCTTGAGATAAAAAAAGAGAAGTGGGAAGTCACATTGTTCTACTCTTGTGTCTACCCACATTAGCAAGCTTCCTCTGATTTCAGGCAATTTATGCAGGGGTCAGTTTCGCTTAGAGGAGCCATCCTCCTCTGTTTCCTTGTGCCCTCAGACCAGAAAGCACAATAGGTTCTATAAAAAGTAGATGAAACAAACCTAGTATAAATACTGGGATTGCATCTAATACTTCCTCCTGTTAAGACTAGTGATAGTTCCTTACTTTATCACACATTAGAATAATTAACATCTATTGAACATTCACCACGTGCCAGCCACTGTTCTAAGAATGTTTTATGTGTTAACTCATTCAGTCCTCCTATGATCCACAAGTGGACACTATTATTAGCCCCACTGTGTTCTCAGCTGAGGCACAAAAAAGCTAAATGTCTTGCCTGAGATTACTCAGCTAGTAATTGGGGAGTTAAGAATCTAACCCAGGTAGACTAACTTGAGTTTGTGAGTAAGCCCTCTGCTTTGGCACAGAACAACTTAAAGATGTGGAGTACATGTTTGCAGAGTATTTTCAATAGTCCACAGATCTCATCTGTGACATAAGTTCCCATTAGTTCAAAGGAAATTTTACAAGTGAAGATCGACCACTACATATGTATTTTTGCTTTCTAGAATAGTATATTTTAATTATAAATACAGGAAAGACTTTACACTTTTGAATAACTGACCTATTGCGTCACTGTTTCCACCTAAATTAAAGATTCCTCGTTAATTAGGAAATTGCATTCTTTCTTGAAAAATAGTGATAAATGGCTTGCTTCTTTCCAATGACATTGTCAACATATTATGAACAGAAAAATGTCATAGATTAAAATGCATGAAGGTAAGAAAAATGCTGGTAAAATGCTAAGTTGTTGATTTGATTGCAGCATGGTTTCATAATAGAAATGTTATCTCTGGCCATTCCTAAACATAAGCATGGAACCACTTCAACACATTAGATTACAATAATTCTAAATTTATACCAAGCCATAGTCATAATATCAATACTTGATTTGGATTTAAAATAACCTACCTGTCCATATTTTAAAGACTTTGCCTTTGTTCATATCTACCATAGCCAACTTCAATCAGACATCTAAAGTGAATCTAAATGACCCACAGAAAGAACTACAGCAGTGAGCAAAGAAGGAGTTTTATTGTTGTATGGAAAATAATGTAATAATAATAATAATAATAATAAATAGTAATATAAGAATAAACACTGTTTCATGTACCCATAACTGTAAATCTACTTTTGCCCACCCCTGTAGTATGACCATAAAATTCTAGTTTCTGTTAATGATAAGTCATCATGACCTCTTTGGGGGTTCAGTCACCTTCTCTTTGCTAAAGAAATCTTGGTTGTCTCTTAACCTATATTCTCATGAAATAAGTATTGATTTTCATGGGTAAGGAATTCATTCTTAAACCAAATGTAAGCTGAAATAAACTAAACCCAATGACTACTTTCAAATGTCCATTTGCTGAGTTCTTAATATTTTATTCTTTTAAGGATTTCCAGGGGGACAATGGAGGCTTTAGGAAAATGTTCTGCTCAGTAAACTGGAAACCCCTTAGAAGGAGGGGTGGACTGCTTGCTGGGCTAGTAGAGCACTGTTCCACTCCTGTGCTAGCTGTGAGATAGGCCCCACTGCAGATCACCTCTCAGTGACAATCTCTGGAAAGTCTACATAAGACTTAATGTTAGTAATGCCCTCTTTACTGTGTGGTCCTGGCTAGAAGAAGACAACATTGAAAGCACAGTTCGGTGACATAGGAAATACCCTTTTCTCAGTAGCTTACATCTAGTCTGACTATGGGACAAGAATTGACCATTAGCTGATTTGAGGTAGAATCATATTATACATACTTTTTAGTTCATAAATGATAATGGACTATATTTTAGGTTTAAATGAGAACTTGGAGTTACTGGCCACATATGATTACTATGCAGCCCCATATGGAGAGAGAATGAGATAAAGAACCTACAGGCCTACAGAGCTACGAAAACCTCTCTCTTCTCATTTCATCCGCGTTTGCCAGGCCACTCATCCAAGGCCCATCCAAATGTAAGCAGCAGTCCAGGCTGTCAGTGTTAGCAATGAGGTCATGGCTGAAAGAGAACACTAAACAGATCTGCACTGATGTTCATCTTAAGCTGATTAAGCTCTCATGTAGGTGGATTCTTTATAGCAACAACAACAAAAAAGGCCTTGCCTGAATTCTTGTCCCTGGCAGATGCTTACAGTAAAACTCCTTACTGCTTGTGACAGCCTACGTGCGCCTTTGCACTAGGTGTTCCCTCTGCCTGAAAAGTTCTTGCCCCAGATAGCCACATGGCTTTCTCTCTCATCTCCATCGGGTCCTTCCTCAGATTTTACCACCTACATGGTGACAGCTTTTTTGAAAACTCTTTTTTTAAAATTGCAAGCACCCCCTAGGCATTCTCTACTCTCTTCCTTACTTTTTCCCCCCCTGAGCATCTGTCACCATTGTAACATATTATATATCATAATTATTTTTTGTTCTGTCTATCTAGAACAGGGATGTCAAACCCATTTTCACCAGGGGCCACATCAGCCTCATGGTTGCCTTCAAAGGGCTGAATGTAATTTTAGGACTGTGTAAATGTAACTACTGCTTAACAGTTAAGTGAAGTGAGAGCTCGGCACTATCGCCGGGTAGAAACAAGGTGCCAGGCCAGATAAAACAAGGTGGAGGGCTGGATTCAGCCTGCAGGCCTCATGTTTGCCACCTGTGACCTAGAATATAAGGGCCATTAAGGTAAGGTTTTTTACCTGTTTTATAACCACTGAATCTCCACAGTAGTGCTCAGTACATGGTAGACAATCAATATTTGCTCAGTGTTGTTGAAAGAGTAGCAAATTCTATCCAGTGAACTAAATTCTATCTCATGAATTAAAATTGTGTGTTTCATCAGAAAAAATATATAATAACAGGTATATCTCTGCTGCGAAGGCATAGCCACATAGTAGGCAAATGTTCCATGTGGCTACTGTAAACCACAGAGATATCTGCATCGTGGCTGACATTCAAAGAGAAAGCATATCTTGTATTATGGTCCTTATACCCACAAAGTGAAAAATATTAGTCTTTGGAGGCTCATCTAAGCTCGAAAGTAGAATTGGTAATGAAGAAAAGGCAGTTGAAATTTGCAGGAAAAAAATAACCAACTGAAATTGACCGAGAAGGACAGTTGAGAAGGATCAGTTAGGGAGTGACATCTGCTGATTTGTAGTTAGCTCTGTCTCACTGGTAGAAACAGATATTCTCAAGAGGCCTATATAAAGGAACTGAAAACAATTATATTTAATTAGGTAGAAAGGAACATTTCATGTAAATAATAAAAATTTTGCTTTCTTTTCCCCCAGCTTTGAGATGTAATTGAGATAAGATTGTGTAAGTTTAGTGTATATAATGTAATGGTATGATATAGGTTATCATGCAAAATGATTAACTCAGTAAAGTTAGTTAACACATCTGTCACTTCTCAGAGTTAAAAAAAATTTTTGTGATGAGAACTTTCGAAACCTATTCTCTTAGCAACTTTTAAATATACAACATAGTATTCTTAACTAGTCACCATAATGTACATTATATTCCCAGAATTTATTCACCTTAAAATTGGAAGTTTGTACCTTTATTTTAAAAGATTTTATTTATTTACTTCTACAGAGAGGGGAAAGGAAGGCGAAAGAGAGGGAAAGACATGTCAGTTTGTGGTTTCCTCTTGTGCGCCCCCCACTGGGGACCTGGCATGCAACCCAGGCATGTGCCCTGACTGGGAATCGAACCGGCAACCTTTTGGTTCACAGGCTGGTGCTCAATCCAGTGAGTCACACCAGCCAGGAAGAAGTTTGTACCTTTTGACTACCTTCACCCATTTATCCACATATAAGTGAGAACATATAGTATTTGTCTTTCTCCATCTGACTGATGCCACTTAGCATAATGTCCTCAAGATTCAGCCATGTTATCACAGATGGCAGGATTTCCTTTTTATGGC